CAAACATTTCGGTGTCGCAAATACCCTGGCTGCTTTGAGAGAACAGTGGTGGATACCACAACTTAGATCAAAGGTGAAAAAATTAATCAACAATTGCAATATCTGCAAGTTGTATTCCACGAAGCCGTATGGGTCACCATTGACGAGCAACATGCCCAGCTTTAGAACAGAATCTAGCGAACCATTCGAAGTCACCGGTGTCGATTACGCCGGGCCGTTAAGACACAAAATCAGTAAGAGAGAAGAGGGAAAGTGCTACGTATTAATCTTCACGTGTGCAGCATCTCGAGCGATCCACCTGGAACTAACCAAGAGCCAAGAAGCAGAGGAATTCCAACGAAAACTCAACACATTCATCGCTCGAAGAGGAAGACCTCGATTAATGATATCGGACAACCCAGCGACATTTAAAACGACAGCCACACTAATCAAAGCCATTAGAAAGAGTGAGAAATTGCACGATCTCCTAGCAGCACAAGGTATACACTGGAGATTCAACCTTGCTAAATCCCCTTGGTAGGGAGGGATCTATGAAAGATTGATTCGGGAAGTAAAGAAGATCCTTTATAAGACCCTTGGAAGATCGCACCTTTCATGCGAGAATTTGAAAATGGTCCTCATGGACATTGAAATTAATATGAACAATCGTCCACTAACCTATGGCGAAAGCGAAAGTGGAGAGGAAGAAGTACTAACGCCAAACGTTCTCATCCGAGGGAGAAACACTTACCTTCTTGATGACATAGAGAATGACGTAGACGAGCTTACGAAGATGCAAAAGAGAATCGCCAAAGCAAAGAACAACGCTTGGAAAAGATGGCAACGAGAATACGTACACAGTTTAATGGAAAGCCAACGAGTAAACGGAAAGCCAGTTAACGCGCCTGAAGTCGGTGAAGTAGTTTTAGTCGTGGGAGAAGAAAAGAACAGGAGCGAATGGAAGAAGGGAAAGGTAGTGCGACAAGTCAAAGGTAAGGACGGAGTGGTGCGTGGCGTGGTACTTTTACACAAGGGACACACTATCGAAAGACCGATACAGTTGGTGTGTCCACTCGAAATTCGATGCACAACGCAAATAGAACAAAAAAAGAACGAAGAGAAGCAGACGGTTGAAAATGAAAGGAAGAAACGGGGAGCAGCAATTGAAGAGGGTACGAAAATACGTGAGCTAGCAGAAAAGGAGGATGCAGACTAAACAGGGAACAGTAAATGAGAACAGTTCACATTGTGTTAACTTATAAAAATTAAGACTGAATTTGTAGGGGAGTAGTGAACCGAAATTAGTATAGGCCACATTAGGTGGCATGACAAGGGGCGGGGACTTTTATAAACAAGATTGACATTTTGAAGTAAGAGCAATTAGTTGATAGACAGAATAATATAAAAACAACATTGGGACTGTGAGACATATCGTGATTCGTGAGACTGTGAGAAATTTAATATATTTTAGGTTTAAGTTTTGTAAGTTTTATTTTTGGATTTTTGATTAAATAATAGTATACTACGTGAGTAATGAGTTCGGTATAGACGCACAATGAAGTCACTCCTTTTTACCGCCATTTTGAGCCTTCGGAAACGTTCGAAACAGCTTCTCATCAACTTCGCAATACTATTACAGGTAAGGTTGACGCATGCGCAGACGTTTTTCCGCGGCGTTGGGGATGACTGCCTCTAGTCACTTGCTAAGCTATGCGCAGTACGGCATGCGCAGTGACGAAGCCCTTACGCTTTTTTGACTGAAGTCGGACATCTGGTCCTCTTAATCTGTGGCAGTGATGCGTGAAACTCGGAGTAGAGACAAAAAGACATTTTAAGTAAGAATAACCAAACCGGACAAGCAGAAAATTCTACTTGACCGCGGCTGGGATTCGAACCCGCGACCTTCGCATTTCTAGAACGATGCTCTACCGTTTGAGCTACAAGGTCAAGCTGAGAACGACTTGTTAAGTTATGATGTTAGTTGCATTTCGGAGGTTAGTCCTTCAATGCGTAAAGCCAGCTATTAGTCTGGCAATGTTGTATGTGAATGTTGTTGTTTCCCACGTTTACGATTCCACTCGTGTAACGTTATGTAGCGGTTTTTGAGTTGTTTTCAGACGAGTGTATACGAAACCGGGCAAGCAGAAAATTCTACTTGACCGCGGCTGGGATTCGAACCCGCGACCTTCGCATTTCTAGAACGATGCTCTACCGTCTGAGCTACAAGGTCAAGCTGAGAACGACTTGTTAAGTTATGATGTCAGTTGCATTTCGCGGAGGTTAGTCCTTCAATGCGTGAAGCCAGCTATCAGTCTGGCAATGTTGTATGTGAATGTTGTGGTTTCCCACGTTTACGATTCCACTCGTGTAACGTTATGTCGGTGGTTTTTGAGTTGTTTTGATACGAGTGTATACAAAACCGGGCAAGCAGAAAATTCTACTTAACCGCGGCGGGGATTCGAACCCGCGACCTTCGCATTTCTAGAACGATGCTCTACCATCTGAGCTACAAGGTCAAGCTGAGAAGCTTGACCTTGTTAAGTTATGTACATAACGTTACACGCGCGAGTGGAATCGTAAACGTGGGAAACCACAACATTCACATAAGACACATACAACATTGCCAGACTGATAGCTGGCTTCACGCATTGAAGGACTAACCTCCGAAATGCAACTAACATCATAACTTAACAGCGAGATATGTAGACTTAGCGAAGCAAATTTGCTCCTTGCGTCAAGCTTGCGGTCTCTTTGGAATTCAACATTCAAAGTAATGAATATCAATCCTATGACCAACAGTCCCACTAATAGTATGAGAAATACCACCTTTAATGACCCTACAACTACTGATAAGGATCCGCTAATTGACCCTAACATATACACCTCCCATACCATTGGACCAACTTTATTCAATGAATTTAATATCTACGACGAGTTTAGGAATATAGCAAGTGACCGGCCTAGCGTTCTAAACTCCGACTTAAATCAGTCAACTGAAGACATTATAAATATATCCCATAATGAAACTGATATATATAATGAGTCAGTTCTTATTGTTAAAGATCAACCTAGCGTCTCGAATACCGATCTCGTAAAAAACTGCACACTAACTGAAGCTACTAATCTAAATAAAGCCAGTAAAACTAAGTCAACAACGGGTAAATTTAATACCAGCACATCTCGATTAGGTAATGGACGTTTTAACCGAATGACATCTAAACGCCCAAAACATTTAACCCCGTGTCCATTCCTGAGGAAAAGAAAATTCTGTAAAAGAGGCAATAATTGTGACTTCCTACATCAGAAACCTCAATTTTATAATAACATCCAACGACCCTCCTATAAGATAATGGACAAAGCTGTCTCCTCACCCAGTTTTCATTACTCCCCTTTTCCTGTGAATCCCTATTATTTCCCTCCATTTCGATCCCCAATATACCACCCCACATCCCAACCTTTTCCATACCCTCCTTCATTGATGTCAGTACAAACAACAGGATATTGAGTACTGATAGACATCCGCGTAATGGTCGTTGTCACCGTGCTCGTACTCATAACCCTTCAAACTGTGTCTGCGTGTCTGTACATAGAACTAACTTAAATTCAGATTCTCATACAAAATTCCTACGTTTCGCCAATGTTAATGCGAGATCTCTTAAAAACAAAACAGCCGAAATCGTTGATCATGTTTTGAGCAACGATATTGATGTGTGTATTGTGACTGAGACCTGGTTAAAAGACGTTGACACTGTTAGCATAGCCGCGCTTTCTCCCCCTGGTTACTCTTTTAAAAACCTTCCTAGACAATCTAACAGAATGGGTGGAGGCACTGGCATTATGTTTAATACCAATTTTAAAGTTACTTTAATTGACGGAGGTGAAAAACGATCTTTTGAATACTCTGAATGGAACTTGGCTTTACTCAACCGTACGATTAAAACATTAGCAGTCTATCGTCCACCTTATTCACAAACTCACCCTGTTTCTTCAAGCGTTTTCTTCGAAGAATTCTCCAACTTACTTGAGAGCATTGTTATGTGCACAGAAGTATTAGTAATCTCTGGTGACTTTAATTTCCATCTCGATGATCCGTCTGATACTGACGCGAAAACATTTACTGATTTATTGGAAACTTTTGGCTTATTACAACATGTTACTGTACCAACTCACTCGTCTGGGCATACCCTGGATCTTCTAATTTCGAGATCGTCCAATGACATTAATATTCACCTAGTCAAGACTACTTTCTTTTTGTCAGATCATTGTTTTGTTGAATGCAACCTCTCTTTTCCTCGCCCGAATCTTGTGACAAAGGAAATTCAGTTTCGTAAGACAAATCATTTGAATCTTCAGGCCTTCAAAGCTGACATCACTGATTCCAAACTGTGTAATGACCCATGCTCCAATCTAGATGATTTGGTGAAACATTATGATAATACGCTATCACATATTTTGGAGAAACATGCCCCTTTACAAAGAAAGATAGTGGTTGTCAGACCAAGAGTACCATGGTTCAGTGAAGAACTTAAACGTATTAAGGCCAAACGCAGAAAACTGGAGAAAGTAATGCTACGATCAAATTGCCAAAATGATAAAGACGCTTATCGCCAAGCGCGTAACAAGTATGCTACCAGTTTGAAAAATGCTAGACATAAATACTATTCTGATCTTATCGATCAATGCTCGGGAGATTCAAGAAAACTTTTTAAGGTTGTGTCTTCACTTTGCAACACACCTCAAGAAAACTCCTTGCCTCCACATGATGATTCACGTAAACTGGCTGATGAGTTCGGAAAATATTTCTGTCGAAAGATTGAGCTAATTAGAAATGACATTGAAAACGTTGTAGTAAACCCACCATTAGTAGATTATCGTTTACCTGATATCAAATTAGACTCATTTAAGCTCCTGTCAGAAGAAGAAGTCCATAACATAATCATGAAGTCGTCGAATGCAACATGTAACCTTGATCCTATCCCAACATGGCTGCTGAAATTATGTGCCAGTGAGTTAACACCTGTCATTATGAAAATGATCAACTTGTCGTTAAGTGAAGGTCACGTCCCAGAAGCATGGAAAGTTGCCATTCTTATTCCAATTCTAAAAAAATACGGTCTTGATCTAGTCTTTGAGAACTTCAGGCCCGTCAGTAACCTGTCTTTCGTTTCTAAAGCTACGGAAAAAGCAGTTGTTAGCCAGTTATTTGAGCATTGTGCTGATAATGCTCCTCTTCCTAACAACCAATCGTCATATCGTCAATTTCACTCTACCGAAACAGCTCTCCTAAGAGTCCACAATGATATCCTTATGAACATGGACCAACAGAAAGTAACTCTTTTAGTGCTCTTGGATTTGAGTGCCGCCTTTGACACCATTGATCATGAAATTCTGATGGATATATTGAAGTTAGAATTTGGTGTGATCGGAAATGCCTTAAAGTGGATTAAGTCGTTTCTTTCCTGTAGAAAGCAGCGTATTAATATTAAGCAAAAGTTTTCCGCCAATTTTACGTTGAACTGTGGAGTACCACAAGGAAGCTGTCTTGGACCGGTCCTTTTCCTATTATACGTGTCTCAACTGTTCCAGATTATTAACAGGCACTTACCTTCTTCCCATGGGTATGCAGATGACACTCAACTTTATTTATCTTTCCGTCCTGAGTCACCCGTTGTCCAAGACCAAGCTATTCAAACTATTAATAATTGCATCGTCGAAGTTCGTGCTTGGTTAGTTTCACATAAATTAATGTTCAATGACACTAAAACGGAATTCTTGATAATTGGAACTCGCCAGCAGCTGTCTAAGGTTACAATCGACTCGATTGAAGTTGGTGATGCTGATATAAAACCTGTACAAGAAGTCCGAAATCTAGGTTCGTGGTTTGACGAACATATGTCGATGAATGTCCATGTGGGCAAGGTTTGCAGCAAAGCATTTAGGGGCTTGTACAACATCCGACAAATAAGGAAGTTTCTCTCCATCGAATCAACTAAAACGCTCGTACATGCCTTTGTGACGTCACACTTGGACTACTGCAATTCTCTCTTGTTCGGCATTCCCCAATACCAACTTCAGCGTCTTCAACGAGTTCTCAATGCCGCTACTAGAGTGACGTGTCTTATACCAAGATGTGCTCATATTACCCCTGTCCTGATGCACCTTCACTGGCTGCCTGTCAAGTTTCGCGTTGATTTTAAAATTGCACTTCTGGTATATAAAGTCCTCCACGGGATGGCGCCAGCTACATTATGGAACTGTTGTTAGAAAAACCGAACTGCTGTTACCAACTGAGATCTGATGATCAGGGACTACTTTTTATCCCAAAAACTAGAGCCAAGACTCTTGGTGATCGAGCATTTGTGCATGCAGCTCCGTCAATTTGGAACATGCTACCTTCTGGTATTAGAAATAGTAAAACAATTGACTGTTTTAAATCTCAATTAAAGACTTTCCTTTTTAAGAAAGCTTTTGATTCTAACTTTTAGATTTATAGACACCTATACCTTAATTCTTAATATTTTAGCTACTTGTATATAGTATAACCTCATTGTTGTAAAGCGCTTTGGAATATTTTATATAATTTAAGCGCTGTACAAATTTAAGTATATTATTATTATTAACACACGTAAATTCTGCCCGCATTAGTTCGCTCGCACGTAGTGTGAACGTATAGTCTAATTTTCGGTGACGTTTTCAAACGGCGAGGTAGCCTTTAGAAAAATTTAGAAATAGTGGATGTCCGAAGGGGAGGGGGTAATTTTGGGCTTGGATGTCCGGAGAGGGGGGAAGGTTGAACCATTCAAGGATGTCCGAAGGGGGGGGAGGGGGTTATTTTCGATTTCCTCCGTAGGGGGGGTATGGATCTTTTCTGAAATGACCCATTGCGAAATCATGAATTTGAGTGAAATACCGTAAAAAATCTCATTATCAGTTGGTAAAAATGCTGTTTTTTTATTGGACAATTTGAATTTGAGGTATAATATTGTTTTTGTATAATTTCATAAGTGATTATTTGGAAAAAGGTAAACTGAACACACATTTCTTTGTCATTTACTTCGACAAAATTGAATTACTGCCATATATTTTGAAAAACTCTTTAGGTGATTATCGTGCAATAATCACCTAATCAGTAACCAATCAGCGTGGAGAATTTTCAATAATCACATATTATGTAATTCATACTAATGGCATGTATAGTAAATATCTAAATTGCATGTAGACAAAAATAGCTACCTTAAAACTTGTAGAATGTCTTTGAGCATCATCGCCTAAAAAAACAGGATGCTTTCAAAAGATGCCAGTGAGAATAGAGTGAAGTAGACAAGAATATAATTATCACTTTTATTTCTCACCCTCAGATTAGAATCCATGATTTTCAACTATTCGAGCTAGATTTCTTCAAAATGAAAAACATACATTATTATGCAAAGGTTTTGACGTGGCATGACAAAAACACAAAACACTAAAGCAAGGCTTAGAAAGCAAGATCTCTTACATCGTGTAAGATTACACGATACAAGTGCAGTATATGTAGCCGTGTCCGGTCAACACTTCGAAGCAATTATGGTCCTTCCTTTTCTAGACCAGGGTCATATTTGACCATGGCATCCTGGTTAACATAACTAGACGTCTATGTTATAGAATAGATGGATGCATAACCAGAGCGGCAGAGTTCCTGGTTGTTTACAGTAGTTGGGTAGCATAGCATAGCTAATTTAATTAACAAGGAAGTGCTCTCGTCAAATTAGCCAAATTATGGTTGAAAAACAGTTAAAATAACCGGGAAATTTAACCATGCAGGAATATTCACATAACCCATATAGGGTTATTTCTAGTTTAAGCAGGAAAATATTAACCAGGGTGTTTTTATAGTGTAAGAAATGATAATAAATTCTAGATGAAACAAGACGCAAGTCATCGTTATACTAGTTTAAAATACATACAGTACTATAAGGCATGCAATGAACTTGTGATGACTTGCGTCTCGTTTGCTTTAAAGTAAACAATGAATACGTGTACCTATTTTCTTTCATGCCTACAAAGTGATCATGAGTGACTGATGATGTATATGTACTACCTTGACTTCTCATATTCCAATCACCGCTACGAAACACCGACGAAGGACCAATTACATGCGGTTCATTGTGTTGGATAGGATCAGCGTCGTTCCTGTATATTCAGCATAACTGAAAGTCCTGGGTAGTAAATACGAAGACCGAATAGCGCTATCAATTGGATATTGATTTTCCATGCTTGTTAAAATTCATCGTTGATTTATATAAGCCATATTAAACTTTATTATTTACAAGTTAAAGTTTTTTTTAATAAATTGTAAGGTCAATATCGGGATTTTTAAAGCTGTTTCCCGAGCTAAGAGCTAAGAGGGTACTAAATTCCTCACGGCTAATTATACCCGGGTATGTGAAAACATAGCGGAGTGCAAAGTTGTCCTCCATTTTGTTTATGTCATGGACGGTTTTCGACGTTATGCGCATGCGCGAGTACAAACTCTGTCGAAGTAATTGTTTCTCATTTTGAAAGGACGTATTTTGCTGTTTTACAAAATTTTTTTGTTTCAAATTTCGTTAAAAAGTTTACAAAAGTACAACACGGTTTTTTTCTGGATTTTAACTGGAAATAAGCCTGCAGTTTCACTTTATTAGTGGCTGTTCAATCGTGAAACAAAGTTTGTATAATAATTGTTTTGATGTTGATGTCTTTGATAATTTAATCGTTGTTGTGCCGGTTTGGGTAAGTGTAAACATTTCAGTAGTAAAATTCCATGCCGTACTTGCTTTGCGTGGTCGGTTCTATTCATATCTGCGAAATTTTTAAGCCATTCTTAACTCGATAATTCACTTAAAAATGCAAGCAGGTATGAATGAAATTGCAGTGACTGTTATCGTTTATTATAAAGCTAGCGCATCAGTTGTGTTTTTATGTTTGTTTATAATGGTGGAGTTTTTATACTTCACCTGTTAAGAAAGGCGAGGGGTTGCTGCATGCATGTATTTTCTAGTAATTTAGTATTTTTACAAGAGTTGCAAAATCACTAACCTGGCACTGGCTAGCGCTATCCAGCCTTCGTACAACCAGCTCCTGGAGTATTAAAAATATTTAAATTAAATATAAATTTTTAACCTTTGGCGTTTGATAGCTGGCGACATATACAGAACCATCTTTCGTAGTTTTATCTTGTGTTCCAGATGGAGAAAAGTCCTAAGAATTTAATATACGTGCCGGGTTTACGACTTGCCAATAAATGAATTTTAACTATAACTTAAAATTAGCAGCCGCAATTTGATGGTAATGCTGGCAATATTAACCTGTTTTATTGCTTCTAAAATATTTTGTGTTAACTGGAAAGGTTTATGGAAATTTATTCCACAGTAACAATGCGCGTAGAAGAACCAGTGGATTAATGACCTCCAGCCAGAAATTGTGACAATTACACACAATTAGGCTACAAGAACCACTTCAGGCTGACCAATAAGACTGGTCCTTCATATAGACAGCATGATCTCTTCCCAATTGTTAAAAAGTGCTCAAATTAAGACATTACCTTAATTTTACCCTAACCTTAATCCCGCGATATAAACCTCTGATCGGTAAGATCGACTCATTACGTATCTTCTTAAAGGAAAACCCTTTTGATGTGTTAACTCTGTCCGAAACGTGGCTGAAAGCTAATGTATCTGATAATGAAATTTATATCCCTGGATATACTTTATCGAGGAATGACAGAGATATTCGTATTGGGGGAGGTACTTTAGCCTATATTCGTGATGGCTTGCCTTACTGTGTGCGCTCTGACTTGCAAGCACCGAATATTGAATCCTGTGTTATTGAAGTCAATCGAGTAAAAGCTAGGAAACTTTTCATATTTACTATATATAAGGCTCCTGACAAGAAACTTGAACATTTTATTGAAAGTTTAAGTAACGTATTATGTACTGTTCCCTCGGAAGCCGATATTATAATTTTGGGCGATTTCAATGTTAATGTTCTAGCGGCAAAGAAAGACTCTTTACGACAACAACTTGTTCGCTTTGGAAATTTGCATTACTTGGAACAACTTATTAAAACTCCTACAAGAATTACTGAAAAATCTGCCACTGCAATTGACCTATTGTTTATTAACAATTATCATCGTATAATCGATTCTGGGGTGTTACATCCATCATTAAGTGACCATTCCCTTATCTATTGCATACTAAAAGCTGGAGTCCCTAAGCTTCCGCCACGAACAATAGAATACAGATCATATAAGAACTATTCCCAAAGTGCTTTTGTGAACGATCTTAAGAATATAGATTGGAATGTTGTTGATAATCAAGAAAATGTTAATGATGCCGTTAAGGTATGGGACCAACTATTCTCTGACGTGGCTAATAGACACGCTCCAATTAGAAAACTGCGAATGAAAGGAAGACATGCACCGTGGATCACGAGTAATTTAAGTACTGCTATGCGGGATCGCGATTATCATCGTCGAAAGGCTGTAAAATCAAATTCTGAATATCACTGGAAGCTCTATAAGCAAGCAAAGATATCTGTGAATAAACTTATAAAGAAATGTAAATCTGAGTATTATCTAGACCTAATAAACAAAAACAAAGGAAACTCTAGTGTACTCTGGAAAACATTAAATGAAATTACATCGAGGAAATCATCTGCTCCTATAACTTCTATTGAAATTGATGGCACGTCACAAACTGACGTTAAATCAATTGTTGAAGGTTTAAACTTGCACTTTTCGTCTATTGGAATGAAATTAGCGACATTAATCAAGTCTAGTTTCGGATTCATTCGTCAGGTCATTACGCCAAATTCTGTCAGTGATATTTGGGCATCAACATCTTGTGAGTTTTCCTTTGGGGATATTGATGAACAATTTGTTAACAAAAATCTCCATGAGTTGAAAACCAATAAAGCTATTGGTCTTGATCGTGTTAGTGCTCGTTTGTTGAAAGATTCTGCCAATGTTCTAACTCCTGTACTGACCAAATTATTTAATCGTTCACTGTCTTCTTCTATATACCCTGACATTTGGAAATGCGGGAAGGTTACTGCTCTGTTTAAGTCTGGGAAAAGAACTGATCCAAATAACTACCGGCCAATAACAGTTCTCCCGATTGTTAGTAAAATTCTAGAGAAAGCGGCCCATTTACAAATGTATAGCTATCTACAGGATAATAAACTTTTGTCGCCATTTCAGTTTGGTTTTAGGCCCAAAAGCTCGACTGAGATTGCCCTCGTCGACTTCACTGACTCAATTCTGGAAAACATGGACAGAGGACTTTTCACAGGGGTAGTTTCAATTGATTTAACGAAAGCTTTTGACACCGTCGATCACGGAATTCTGTATGATAAACTGAAACGCGCCGGCTTTGCTGACACATCCGTAAACTGGCTTGAATCATATCTTACAAACAGAACTCAAGTAACTGCAGTTGGAAATATTTACTCGTCTGCTAAATCTGTACACATTGGAGTACCTCAGGGAAGTGTGTTGGGTCCGTTACTATTTATCATCTATGTGAACGACCTGCCTTCATGTATAAAACACTGTAACGTATCTCTTTATGCTGATGACACGGTTATTTATTTTTCTTCTTCTGATGTATCAGTAGTTGAGGATAAACTAAATTCCGATCTAGCAAGTTTAAGCCGGTGGCTCAACGAAAACCTCCTAACATTGAATGAAACTAAATGTAAATTTGTTATATTTGGGAGTAATCAAAAACTGGCAAAGATAAAAAAAATTTCCTTGCAAATAAACGGATGTCAAATTCATGATGAAGATTCGTTTAAATATCTGGGTGTTATTATGCACAAGAACATGACTTGGTTGGATCATATTGACCAGCTAAATGTGAAAGTTTGTCAACGATTAGGAGCTCTACGACGAGTAAAACATCTACTTCCCCGCGACGCAAGAATAACCTTATATAACAGTCTAATTCTACCTCTGTTTGATTACGCGGACGTTGTATGGGGTGACAAAAATAATGCCCTTTTGATGAACCAACTTCAAGTACTTCAAAATAATGCAGCTCGTACCATATTAGATTTACCAAAGTATGCATCAGCAACTCAGGCTATTAATCAGCTGACATGGAAACCTCTAGTCTCTCGCCGCTGTTCTCATCGTCGCGTGGCGATGTACAAGTGTCTAAATGGTCTGGTTAATTTTAATCATGACTTTCGAAAGAATGGCGACCATGGTTATAACACCAGAGGTTCTGAGAAAATCCGTGTGCCTAAATCAAAGACAAACTGGGGCTTGCAGAGATTCGTTGTGCATGCAGTAAATGACTGGAATAGTGTGCCAGAACACATCAAACAGGCTGAAACACTAACACGTTTTAAAAGCCTTTTAGCAACAAATTTTTAGACTTTCATAGATTAATGGTTTTGGAATGCTCTTTATGTATATTCTATTACAGTATACTTATTTCTAACTTTTTAGCTTTTTAATCTAACCTCTACTAACTTTTATTAACTTTATGGACAATTTATTATTTATGTAATAGTTTTTATCAGGGCCCTACTGAAAATCGCACTGCGAGTTAGGCCCCCTGTCAAAATATTATGATAATAATAAAAAAAACGTTAATCTAATCTTTTAATCTAAACTTTATCTAATCCTGTCATGCACTAATCTAAACCTGAAGACCTTTTTCGACTTTTTTCTATTGTGCATTCGTACTGCAACATGTTACGGACAGATTTAACATGAATCACTTTCTTAATTTGTTTGGTTCTAATCGTGACTGGGGCATGACATAGCCATGGGACCATGCATTTTAAATGGGCTAATTGGCTAAATTTAACTTACAGGGATATTGGTACTGTAGAAGTCATGCACAACACGTTTCACCGAAGGTAAAGTGTTCTTGCTAAACTCAGAGGTCTTTGTTGTTATTAATGGATAATTCTCGTCGCTGCCAAACTTAAAGTTTGATGTTCTCTAAAAGAATCAAGAATTATAGAATATTGTTAGTATCTATTTGCGCCTTTTAATTCCCATACACACACCTATCATATCTGATCCATCCAACCTACGAAATCATAATTTTGGAAAAACGGACTATTGAATCCATCCAACCTACGAAATCATAATTTTGGAAAAACGATCTATTGAATCCATCCAACCTACGAAATCATAATTTTGGAAAAACGATTTATTGAATCCATCCAACCTACGAAATCATAATTTTGAAAAAACTGTCCTGAGGACCGTGTGCTGAAAATAAAGTGGAAACGGCGACGGCTTTGTTAAACAATGAAATTTGTACTAATATAGAAAAGAACGAAATATTGTGAAACTGATTCATGAAGAAAATGATACAAAATGATACGGAATCATGCTGATCGATTATTAAACTTTTAAAAGTTCAGACAATTTTCTCACCAAATATCATTAATTTATTTTAAATTGTTGAAGAATACGACAAAAATATCTTGATGTTCTCATCAAGCACTGCCCTACGCCTGCCCAGTTGTTGCTAGGTAACTGCTCGTTCATTCCCAATTAAAGACTAGGCTCGAGTCTTTGTTTCTGTACGTTACAGAGAGGGTGGTTTCTGAACAAGCAGGGATCCGACTAAGTTTTTTTCTATGTTTATGGGATGATTGCTTATGAATGGTCAAATTACTGCTGCGATGTTTTAATAAGCCATTTTTCTGACGGCATGACGGTTAGGACCTCGTGCGTTGTAGCGTGCGCTAAAAATTCAATTAGCAAACGTAATAAACGGAAAAATTGACAGCGTGCGTGCTACCTGTATGTTTGCATTCGGTCGCGTCACAGAATAGAAAATAGACCAGAAGCCTCACTCAGCCAAAATTGTGTCCGAGATTTTTTATGCGCAAGCGCGAGCCAGCAAGTGTAATCACGACGCCATCAAACGCGAGCAACGCCATCAATTGCCATCACTAGGTAATAAAATTGCTGTTTTAACCGTTTTTAAATGCCACAGGTCCAAATAATGGGTCATCGCAACAGGAAGACACAACGTAAAAAACAAAAGCGTAAAATATTTGCACAATAATTGCAGAATATGCAGCGTACACTTTGAGCATGTTTTTCGAATTTCAAGAAAAACCGTTGTTTTGAGGAATTGACGCTGACGAACGCTGACGTGATGTTCGCAGCAAATGTCACACACGTCATCTAGCGTGCGCAATTCGTGATCCGCAAGGCCGCGTCCTCTAAATATCAGACAGATTTAGATAGAGGACGCGGACGTTAAAGACCACGTCAAAATGGATTGTTGTGCCTATGTATGGATATTCCACGCCACTTTGACGCCATTTCCACGTCGTCTTTGATGTCCGCGTCCTCGATCTAAATCTGTCTATTGTCTATTGATCTGATAGCTTTACATTAAACTATACTCTTTCATGCATATTACATGTAAAACGAGTGTTTGGTGGATTAAACAAGACGCAATAGCCTAATGTTTGCTCAATCGTCTATCTATTGAGAGCGTCAAGTTTCAGGCGGCACTTTCTTTGTGATATAACTCCTGAATTAATAGACCTTATGCATAAGGACGTTACAAAGCTTGATGCCCCGCGAGGAATGCTGATCTTAGTATATAACTAAACTTCGAGAATTTACACACGCGCAACCTTTGATATCGAATAAGCTTTTTAAAGGAACTTAAAGTATTGGCCTTTTTGCAACAATAGATCATTATTCCATAGAAATGCGCCATCTTATGCCAAAAGCTCCTTTTCTTAAATTCGATCTTTGGCCTTGGTAACACTAAATCTGTGTGATCACTATTTTATAAATTGTACGAAATAGGTCAATTACTAATTTTTAGAAACAAATTATTCAAATTAGGTGCAGCGAGATTATATAAGATTTTGTATATAAAAATCGAGTTCACATAATCTCGCCTTATCTCTAAAGTTTCCCAAGCAAGTGTGTCGAACACGTCAGCCGTCCGTATATCATAAGTTGCTCGCGTTAACACTCGGGCTGCTCGAGATTGGTATTTCTGTAGTTTTTCTTTCATTCCTACACCACAGTTGTCCCGAAGAGGGCTACAAAAATCAACATAGGGTTGCACAAGTTTTTATATATATAACCTCCAATGTCTCATGAGCACATAAGGTTTTAGTCGCCTAATCACAGCAATTCCAGTAACCACCGTTTTACAAATCATTTCAGCATTATTGTCCCAGCCAAGTTTGTCGTCCAAATAACTCCTAGACATTTATAATTCGTAACTCTGGGAACAGGTATATATTATTGATTAGAACAGGCTGATTACATATCTTGTTTTTATATTGTAAGAAGATACTACAAACATATGTTTTGACTTATAGTTGGATGAATTTGGCTTATTTTTACCCATCCACTTACTTAAAGGAACAGTGTCACCGGTGCGAACTTGAAAAACGTACTACGGCAGTAGTTTTTCAAGTTTCTCCATCCAATATGGCGGATTCGCGAGGCAGATTCAGAAATTGTATGCAAAAATATGCATATAGTTTCGTACCGTTGAGGACTCCGAGAGAGTATTTTAGTTTCGAACAATTTCTGATAATTTCCGAAATTTTGTTGCTATGCGCAGAAAAGATGCGCACCAGGTGACATTGCTCCTTTAAGTGTTTTAGATCTTGATTTAATTTAGAGACAAGATCGCTACTATCGTTGAATGATGCATGAATTTGAAGTGGCGAAGCCAGGGCCTCTTTTAACATATAGACTGGGGGGACATGTCCCCCTCAGTCCTCTTACTGGCCGCTTCAGTCGGCTATTTTTTCTCCCCCAGTGAGGTGCCCGCTAAGAACTACCTGCAGTAGGTGGTCAACCAGCAATTATATATCAAAGTGAGAAATTAAAATGATGTTAAGTATAGTTAACATTTCTGAATTTGACCATCATTTTGCAGGCCCGTAACTAACTACGAGTCAGCCGAGTCAGTTGACTCACAGTAGGAATTTGGGGACTGAAATTTAAACATCGCCAGAAACCTACACCATGGAAATAATTTGCTCGTGGAAAAAGGCATGAAATGGCATTTTAGGACGAAATTGTGGTTTAGTGTTTCCAATTTGCAAGCAAAGATGCTCTAAAGAGACCACCCTATCTTGCTTTTCAGTGACACTGAGAAAACGAATGCGTCGAAGTCAAGTACCCCAATACATGTAATACAATACTGTAGAATGTTGTGTTCAAGTGAGGCCAATAGCTACTGTTGAAAGTAAAGTCTAACTTAATTAATTTAATAATCTCTTTTTCGACCGCCCCCTTTCGCATCAGATTACGACACAATTTTTCTAATATAAATATCTCGGCGAGTATTTACCCCCCTTGTAAATAAATGCCACCATTTAAATCCTAATAAAATAACCTTTCGAACGGGGGGTCAAGTGCCGTCAGAGCATTACACAAACCGAAACAATCATATATTTACTCACCGCTTGGCCAAAGATTCTAGATTTTATATCTACAAGATCTTGAATATCTCTTGAACTTTTCGTTATTTCCTGAACGGCTATATGTGTAAAATACTCTTTGTATCCAAGCGCTTTCGTGTAGAAAGTTTCGTATGTATACGCCGACTAGAAATATTTATTTTGAATTTTTCAAGATATCGGGTTTTACTCGCACTTGCGAACATTGCGCAATAATTGGCCAATAAGAAGCTCCTGTTGGCCGGTATGACGTCAAACTCACGCGTGTAGGTGCAATTTGACCTTGCGAATCCATTTCTGGCCTTTCCAGGGTCATATGATACAAACGTCGCATTGTTTTGACGGTTTGCAGACGTATTTCCGGTTGGGATTTACTCACTTCGAGCTCACAGTCGGACAAGAAATGGAAATATACTGATAAAAGATACAGATTTGAAGATACAGGCTTGCAAATAACACTCTAATTGCGTAATTTGATACAATATTATCGTGTTTGACTTTCAAAGGCCCATAAATCGTTACAATGTTAATAATGACTATAACTATCGTTTGGAACTAGTCTATCTTTTATTTCTGAATCGATTGGTGGTATTTCTGTCTTCACAGCATGCACTGAACCGAAAGTATGAAATTTATAGCCGTCGATCGCTCAGGATCGATACAACTGGGTTGTGATGCAAAATTAAAGGAATATAAAAAGTTTAAAAAGGTGTCTTAGCTTTCGTCGTTGAATGATAATACTATACCACGCACATTTTCATTACCGTATCATCACATCATGACGTTGCCTTATTTATTGGCCGGGACTGGATTACATTTGGGGGCTAGACTGTAAAATTGTAGTAATTGTGTCACCGTTTATAAGGATAATTACTTTTTGGGAACACTCCAAAAAATGCTGGAAATGCTTGTCTGAGCTTCAAGAAATACAAAATGTTCTTGTGGCGGGGCCATGCCCACAGACACCTATAGACGGCGCGCACCTCCAGTGGTCGACTCGGTTGTCTCAGAATCCTAGTCAACCTAGTCAATCTTTCATAATTTGAAACTTGAAAGGGATAGCGCCCCCCGTTCCCCCAATTCAATGTTGGGCCAACAAAAATCTGATGTCTGAATGCGCGGCGCCAACATTGAAACGGGTGGGGGGAGGGAGGGTGGAAAATGTGTATCAGGAAATGGTATATTACAACCGAATGCATGTGAAAACTAGATTGTCCCAATCTATATTGTCAAAGATTGTAGTTACGGGTCTGATCTGCCGGCTTATGATAATCCCCGAGCCGACGGCGCGAAGCGCCGTGCGAGGGCACTAATTCCTACCGACTATTTACACCCGGGGAAACGAAAGCATTAGCGGAGTCTAAAGTTCATCAAATATCGCGGGCGTGGGTCACCAACGGTGTTGGGTGGGTGGTCATCCTCACTGATCTCAAAAATATGGCGGACTGTCACGAATAGCGGACACTGATTGGTCCAATTTAAAGTTCGCATTATAACGACTGCATGATGACAGCGAAATAGCAAACATTTCTTGATTTGATGATTGATAAATTTCTTGCAAATATAATTCATTTTTGCTCGCATTTTTGCAAGATTTTGTAAATTTCAAAAGCTCTCTGAGAAAGGAACTGCGAAAGAATCGACTAAAAGAAGGGAGCCGACGTTAACGAAGGTAAGTTTGTTTTAAATATTGATTTTATAATGGATTTAAAACCCGACGGACTTTGCGTATATGAAAGAACTAAACAAGACAGCATATAATTTCAGTGTATCTTTAATATTGATTCACTTTATTATGATATTGAATTTTTTAAATAAATAAGAAAGCAAAGTTATTTGCAAGCGAGAATTTTAAATCATTTTATTGCAAACTTAAAGTTTATCGATAAAGGCATTTTAAAAGGCAGTTTAGTTTTATATTAAAGAACACTAACGACTTTAAAACGCTTTGCGAAGCGTTAATTTGTGGTTGAATTTTACCTTAAATCGAGGTTTATATTGCGTATAATAACATACCTAACATATATATGTTGGGAAATTAATACTTTTGTGATTAAAAGTGATATTTTATAGGCGATTTTTCATTTGTAAGAATATTCCTAAAAAATTATCGTGTGACCATGACAACTTAGATACTTCATGTTCAGAAAATACAATGGTTTTGCCAGCAAGGCGAGGGTTTCTGCATGCATGTATTTTCTAGTTAGTAGTTAAACCATGCATATATATCGCGTTTTAGAATTATTGAAGGTGAATATCTCCGTTCGGTTTTTAAATGAAAAAGGCATATAGGCTCATTATACGAAAGTAAACTTGCCTGCCAGATTAATGTATACAATGATACAAATCACTATGAAAAATGCGATATACACGAAATGTTGTTCTTTTGTATGTTCGGCCGGTTTATTTTCCTTTATATGATATCAAAAGTTAAAGTAGATAATTAAAATATCATTATTTAAGATTTAAAAGCATCATTTTCATATCTTGCCTACTTCTACAAATATTTTGATTGAAATGAATGAAATTTTCCCCATCTTCAATTTTTGTGGATACGCATGTCATGTTGTGACGACAACAGGAGTCACGCAACTATTTTTATCTACACGAACACTAATCATTTTGCACTCAAAACTATAATATCAAGATCACTCAAAACATTTAAAACATCTACCAATCAATACTTGGTCAGCAACGAATACTTTTATATGATTAATCCCTGTTGTGACGTCACCAAAACTACCGTTGATATAAAAAAATTATCCAAGATGGCGGACATCTCATTACTCCAAGTGAAAATGTTTCAAGAACTAAGCAAGATATGAAAAATCGGTAAAAGAAGTTAATATTTAGTTTCAAAAGTTCTTTCAAATGAGACAATAAAAATTAATATAGCCATTTCGTTTAAGGTTTCAATAAAGAATTATCTCCAAACACACCAACAGGCATTTGGATCATTTAAGTTTGTTTTATACGTCGAATTTCGGTCGCGTCGAATGCAATTCAAACAATAAATAATGAAGCTTAATGATGTTTAATTATCTCATTATCTATTGTCTTAATTGCATTCAACGCGATCAAAATTCGACGTATAAAACACGCCTTAAAGTATCATTTCCCAAGGAATTTGTGACAAGTTAGAACAAAAATCGTTTCTGAAAATTGCTTAAAATCTGGTTTACACTATCAAAGTTTATGTGATCACAGTGGGAATTTTGCATCGGTAAATTCTTAGTGTTTAGTAATTTTTAGTGAGTTAGTTCCCTCGATCAAATATTTCTTACAAATCTATTAAAACTTAGAATTTACCTATGTAAAATTTCTGCTTTGATGATCATAGAAACTTTGATAGTGTAAACCAGCCTTAAAGCCGCATTCATCAAGCATGCCGTTGCCCTGCATCGAGCTTTGGCCTCGCTCGGACCAACTGCATGTTTACGCTTTTTACATCACCAAAAGGCTTGGCGCAGGCCTGACCTGTTTTGTAGTGCAGGTTAGGTTAAAATTTGTTTACACTAAAAAATGAGAACCAGCATGCAATAAGATAAGGCAGGGGAAAGGCAAGGCTCGCAGTATAAAGACGGCTTAAAACATGCAAGATTTATTTGAAATAGGCACACACAACGAACTTTACAATGCAATTCTATTGTGGTTAATTGATGCTTACATCAGGATCCGTATGCCTTCGTCGTGGAACACGTGCTTGGCTTTGATTATGGCTTAAAAATGCAGCGACATCAGTTCCCCACATACATGCATTGTAAGAAAGAGTTGTAAATAAAAGTATGTCAACTGGATACGCTTTTCTGCTAGCCCTCGTCATGATTCGACCATTCTGCCATTAGTGCGAAGTAATTCATCGAAGGTGAAGCTCGAAAACTTTAGACAACGTAAGAATTAAATTAAACAATTAGAATTTTTAAATTGACCAAGACTCGGTATCTTTATTCAAATTTTTAAATTTAAACACATAATAGTTTAATTTGTACTTAATTCCCAATGCGGGCAATGGTGAAAAAATGCAATTTGGACAGGCCGTTTTAAATCAGAACGCTTTTTTACAGCTAATTATAGTCGACTTATTTTTTGCGTAAAAACGTTAATCTTATAACAGGGAAAAAAAGAAAAAAAGTATACTGTACCTTTTGAAATCAAGCCTTTGTTAGAATTTGAATGCCTTATTACTGTATTTTACGCTTCAGTAGGTTCAGCATAATGCTTATATTCCAACACTGCAGAGTGCAAGGATGAATTCGTTTTCTCTAGCGGGATTCAAATTGGAATGATTTGCCAAAATGTGCAAAAGAGAAAGGGATTGGTGTAGCAAAATTTAAGTCTATTCTTGACCGTTGCTGAGTCTTGTGAATATTTTTTAACATAATATCGTAGTTGTATAATATAGTAGTTGTATAATATAGTAGTTGTATAATATAGTAGTTGCATAATATAGTAGTAGCTGTGTGTGGATGTAATTTTTGTAACTCCATGTGTTATTGTTCAACGACCTCTTGAAAAACAGATATGTGTAGATTCTGAAGGGTTATGGATGTAAAATATTTTTAAATAAATAAACAAATAAATAAATTCGCATCGTCGAGTTTCAAGACCGCTCTACCCATTTTTCGTATCTCCGAGGACGGTTTTGAAACTGGATTGAAACACTGCGCTGCCTCCAAGACAAGCGTTAGGTCTATAGAATTGCATTACCATAGCAAGACTTCTGGCCACTAGACGCTCCACTACGGAGTATTAATTCGCTACGACTATATATGGAAATATGTAACTCTAAAAATCGGTGTTGTACGAGTATATCAGTAAAGAATTAAGCCTGGCGCACACGATGCGATTTTAGTCGGCCGATAAAAATCGTTTGACATACCGATATACATCGGTATACTATTATTATTATTATTATTATTACAACATATTTATACACAGTAACTAATCAACCATATTACCTATCAGTATTTACAAAAATTATAAAGGTTGTTTTTCATTAGGCCGTGTTACTAAATACAAATTAAAACTCGACATACTATTATATAAACTATTATAAAAATATTAAAAGATACTAAGAAATGTTTGGGTCGAAGCGATACGTTAAATATATATATATATATATATTACAAATTAATTAAGTAGATTTAAAATTTTTACTATTATAGTTCCAGTCTTTAGCAGCAGCATATCCGAATGTCCTTTTCATTGAATTTGTTTAGGCTTCGACAACATCAGCATCTTGTTATTACTTTTTAAATTATATTTATCAGAATTTGAGATTTTAAGCATAGTTGAAACGTTTTCAGGACATTGGTTTGAAAGGGCTTTGGCCACATATACTAATTTTTGCTCCTTTCTTCTCTCTTCGAGTGTTTTCCAATTTAATTTCTTTAAAATACCCGTGGGGCGAATTTCATAGGTATCACCTGTGATTACTCTAGCTGCACGGTTTTGTAGTCTCTGTAGCTTTTCTTTTGAACCTTCGCCACAGTTTCCCCAAACCATGGAGCAGTAATCAAAACTCGGTTGCACTAAAGCCTGATAAATATATTTAAGAGTTTCAAGAGAGACAAATGGCTTTGCACGGCGCAGCATACCAATGCCCTTCGATACCTTTTTACTGATGTTGTCGATTTGCTCATTCCAACATAGATTGTCATCAATCAGTACACCTAAAGTCTTTTTGGAATAAACCTGTTTCAATAGTTTCCCCCCGCATGATACGCTGGTATTTTTTTGAATTTTAGCTAGTCTTTGACGGGTTCCAATGATCATGTATTCTGTTTTTTCAATGTTTAAAGTTAGCTTGTTTGAAAGAAGCCACCAGTGAATATATTTCATTTCAGAATTTAGTGCTTCCTCCAAATTATCAATGCTATCTGAACATACTGTAAGATTTGTATCATCTGCATACATTGCCGGACAGGATTTATCCAAGCAATTTGGCAGGTCATTGACGTATAATAAAAACAAAAGGGACCAAGGTTCGATCCCTGGGGAACCCCACAACGTATTTTCCTGGTGGACGATGTTGCACTGTTCACCCTGCAGTATTGCGTTCTGTTATGCAAATAAGATTTAAACCAATCTAAGGCCTTATTTTGGATTCCATAGATAGATAATTTACTTAGGAGAATTCCGTGATCAACCGTATCAAATGCTTTACATAAGACCAGAAAAAGTACTCCGTTTATCATCCCAGCATCCATGTTAAGTAACCACGAATCCGTATTTGCTAAAAGGGCTGATGGGGTGGAATAATTTTTACGGAAACCAGACTGACACGAACTCAGAATATTATTTTCAGTTAAAAAGGAATTGAGCTGTGTACAGACAAGTTTCTCAAATAACTTAGCAATAATCGAAAGAATGGAGATCGGTCTACAGGGTGTATCAAAAAAAGCGCAATCCTCGACTGAAATGTAAATTGCTAAACAAATAATAGACGAAAACGTTCAAGTTTACATTCATTTTAAAGCGTAGCCATTCAGCTTTCTAACAGTGGGTTGTTTCTTAAATTTGACTCATTGGTTCACGGGTAGTAATACTTTACGTTATTGCGATTGGAGATTAAAAAAATTGAGATGGACTAACAAATCGTTCTCATGAAAATAACTGATTTTTTCATTAAAACAAAAAATGTTGCATTTTATTAAATGGATTGTAACAATAAGTATAATTACGGCTTTTCTTCCACTATTTTTAACTCAGTTTGAAACTTCAAATGCGATATAATTTTGGCTTGGACCATCTGAGCTGACTGACATCAACTTGCTATAATTTCTGTTTACATTACATCGCAATTCGATGACACTCTGGCTCTGACACCAGAATGTTTTGACGATTTTTAGCATTCGTTTAGGATTTTCAAACAACCTGGTCTCTTCTAAAATACTTTTAATTTGTTCTTACGTGGTTTTCCAGATGTAGTGACGACAACATTAAAGTTTAAAGAAGAAAATTCTAACATTTAAACCGACTAAACAATAACATAGTAAACTTGTATAATTAAACAGCAACTAAAAATGATAGGTTTTACTAAATCTTTTCCTGTGCAATTATTACTAGCATTGGAGACAAGGATAATAGTTTGTTTGAAAGAGAAAAGAACAGGCTTTGAAGTAAGCCTAAAAGCGTTTAACTAGAAATAGTATTTCAAAAGTTATTAAGCATAAAAGATGAATTGCGTTTATTTTGATACACCCTGTATAATTGCCTCGATTTTTTTGTCACCAGATTTATGAATTGGAGAAATTCTTGCAGTCTTAAGATCATCAGGGAAAATTCCATGTTTGAGTGAAGTATTAAAAATAAATGCTAAAAAAGGCGCCACGGCATCACTCGCATCTTTCAAAAGTTTGGCTGGGATATTATCATGTCCAGTTGACTTAGACGTCTTTAATTTCTCAAGTGCATTTAACACTTCATTGATATTAATGTTTTCGAAATTGAACTTATGTTGAGTTTTAAATTTCATATAACGTTTAAAATCAGTGTTAGTTTCCGTGATCTGGTTCGACAGATTTGGTCCTATATCAGTAAAATATTCATTGAACAAATCAGCTATAGTTTCATTTTCAGTAATAACCTGTTCGTCTATTTGTAGTACTGATATATTTGTTGATCTAGAATTTTTATTAACTAACTGATTAATATGTTTCCACATTTGCTTTGTATTATTTCTGTTTCTGTCAACACAGTTTGTGTAATAATCTCGCTTTGCATAAATAATTTTTTTGTTAATCTCATTGCGAAAACTTTTGTAAGCATTGTGGCATGCAGTTATGTTTGTCTTAATAGCTTTCTTCTTGAGATAATCTCGGCGATTCATACTTTTCTTAATTGCATCAGTCAGCCACGGCCCACGGTGCCTTTCTGTTTCTAACTTTACGGCTTTGAAGTGGAGCATGAATGTCAGCAACATAATTAAATGTTGTTTGAAAGTTCTCCCAAAGCATATTTGGATCATTTATCTCCCAATTTAAATCAGATAAAGCATGGTATAAGCCTTGGTTAAAGTCTCGCTGTATGTAGTTTTTAAAATTTCTTGACTCAACAAATTTGGGATCATTTTTTACAAACGAAACCATGTCGTAACCGGGTATACTAACAGTATCTGTACTAATTGTTTCATCCAAACGAGTTTCGTTAATGCTCAAAACATCCAGTGGTTCTTTTTCCAAGTATATTTTTAATTCATCAACATGCTTGACTAACGAAGCGATGTTTAAATGCCCAACTCTAAATCCTTTCAAAGATTGTAAAAATGTAATGCTATTTTCACACTTTGTTTGTGGAATAATCTTCTCAATGGAGCAACTTGGCTCTTTTGGTTCGGTATCGGAAATTTTGCTGTAACTGATTTTGCTGTAACTAATTTTGCCGCACACGAAAACGAAAAAAATACGTTCCCTGAACTGTAGCCGCCATGTTGCCAAATAAATACAAGCACGTGATCACAGCATGAAATCTGATTCGTTATACTTAAAATTCCACCGATAAAAATCGTATAATATCAAAACGTTTTGATGTTGTCCGATTAAAATCGAGCAACAAAAATCGGTAAAAAATGGCACCGCACACACAACGATTTTGTTAGTTTTAGTCAAACGATTTTTATCGGCCGACTAAAATCGCATCGTGTGCGCCAGGCTTTAGAACGCGTTTGTTTTTTTGAAAATAATTGATACTTTGCAGTTCGCCTTGCAGTTGACGCTTATGAGTTTGTTATTTGCACGACAATAATAAACATCGTATTAAATTGCAATGGAATTTAAATTGGGCTGATACTGATCGTGTCTGTTCATAGGGGGATTGTTTGTCGAAAATCATGATTTTCCAAGCTTATCGATTGCGCTAATAGTCAACTATAAAACTCAAGTTACAAAACATAGATGTTACATGATCCCCGAGCCGACAGCGCGAAGCGCCGTGCGAGGGTACTAATTCCGCACGGCTATTTACACCCGGGTCTTTGAGAATATAGCGAAGTGCAAAGTTGTCCTCCATTATGTGATGGACGGTCTTCGACGTTATGCGCGTGCGCGAGTACAAGCTCGCACTAAATAAATGTTTTTCATTTTGCAAAGATCTATTTCGCTGTTTTACAATATATTTTTGCGATGTATTACGCAGCTTTTTTAAGATCTATAAATACTACTCCGTTAATCAGTCCCTTATCCATATTATTCACATAATTGATTATTGAATGTAAGAGAGTAGTCTCTGTTGAATGACTTGGACGAAAACAGGATTGATTTTCAGCGATAACTGTGTTTTCATTCAGAAAGGTAATTAATTGGCTATAAATAACTTTTTCGAATACTTGTGCTACATTTGATATAATAGAAATTGGTCTATAATTACCGCAGTTTGTCTTACTGTTGGATTTATAGATTGGCGTAATTAACATGAGCAATTTTCCATGATCAAGAAACTGTACATAGAATGGTTATAGGGAACATATAGCATAAAAGTCCTCGAGTACATTTTTTATATTAATTATAAATTGTTTAATAAAAGGCAACAGAAAATTTCAAAAAACGTACCCGAATTTTAATGTTCGTAGACTATTTCGAATTTCACTACTCGCACTATATCAGGCGACTATATTCGCCGTCTTTTCGGACTATTAGCCGACTATTTGTGACTATTCGCATTATATGAAGCCTGGTTTTTAGGTAGTTACCTTTTTGCTTCGATTACGTAATTTCGAGCATATAGGAAGATTACGTAATTTGCCGATTTGTGGTTGAAAAGAGGAGAAAAACAATCTACTATTTCTCGAACTGCTACTGCTGGTACCTAGCTCTATAACAAACATACTTGCAGGGAGGTGAGTCCGAGATTGAACGCGCCGAGGGTGGCTGGAAGATATCCGAACTCACCTAGCGAAGCGAGGTGGGTTCGGAAAACCTCCAACCACCCGAGGTGCGACAAGTTTCGGCGGCCGTCTTTCTTCTCCTCCACTTTGAATATTGAATATTCCATTTTCATCAAACCAAATAAAAACTAATAATTATAAAACAATTAAAAACAATGAATTTATTTTTTATTTAAATCTTCGTCTGAATTTTTTCAAATCGCCTCATAATGGCCGCCGCCGAAAACATCGATCTCGAACCACAGTAAAGGGAAACAACAGTAGGGCCACTTAGGGGAGAGAAAAGTGGGAATTATTTAAGCTAGGTCCCAGGTGTCTTACGCGGCCAAAATCATTACTCTGTAATACAATTTTGTGGTGAACTGCTGCCGTTTACTGGCTGCCAATATGTAAATTAGGTTGGCAGCCAGTAAACAATGTGGACACTTTTTTACGCTGAGTGGCCCTACTGTTGTTTCCCTATACTGTGTTTCGAACCCCCCACTTAAATATACGTCAGCAGGTGGGTTCGAGATTGAACGCACCTCCTTGTAGCCAATAGGGCAGCCGCTATAATACGGTTTGAGCGTACGGTGATAATGGTTTGAATCATTCATAAAAATCTTCAAAATTATATATCTCTCGAATATTTATAGATTATTTAAGCAACTACAAAGTTTCGATCAAATTATATCCACTATACCTCAAACTACTTCTGGACTTCTCATAGGTCGCCCATTATAAATGCAATATGATTAAAGTCGGCTCGTTATAGAAACGAGTTCAACATTCTTGCATTGTTCACACAACAACAGCAGTGTGCCAATCTCTTGCTTGAGACATTTCTGAAAGCTCTAGCCAAGCATATCTTTCAAAGTTGAAAGCTTCAACTGACTTTCGTGCTCCTTGCTCATTCTCTCCTCCCAGTACTACAATATTGTTTTCAATAACAACTGCAGCACACTTCCATCTCTTACATCTCATTGCCGTCAGGAAATAACTTTGTTCTGTGTTGTCATTGCAAATGATATCTGTATCTAATGCTTTACGACGTTTATCACGGCCGCCTATAACCACAATGTTGTCTCCCCATCTCACAGTTGCCATCTCACTGATTTCATACGGCAGTGGTGCCAACGACTGTTGACATTCATTCTTCCTTACATCATACAGTACGACACTGCTAAGGCTGTTGCTGCAACTGGTAGTTGTTCTTCCACCAACGATCAACAAATTATCGTCAAATATTTCCGTGCTGTGAAATTGTCTTCATTCTGGCATTCTTGACATGGTCTTGACAGTATAGGGAGGCACTAGCCGGACTTCATGAATACAATCAGACACTGAATTTGCCTTAAAACCACCAGTAACTATCAAGTCATTATACAGCACACTGCTGTGGTTTAACAACTTAGCAGGTAGTGTAATAGGACAGTCTTTCCAGTGCATTGAGATATCAGGGTTTGGAGTAACCTCCAGCAAGAGTAACCTCCAGCAATTGTCAAATAATTGTTGTAAACAAATGAAATTGCTCCAAAACGCTTCTCCGGCAACAATTGTAATGGCGACCATGTTCTTTGACGCCAGTTAAACATCTCTACAGAGTTAGTTCTCTGTCCTCCAGCAACAATTATATTTTCCTTATCACCACTTGCTGTATTTTTCACTTTTCTCGGGTTTTCTTCTGTCTTATCCATCTTGACAAGAACATTCTTCATTTCATCAAAACCATCAACAAAAGCTGTTTTCAATTTTCTCACCTCATTATTTACTGCTTCCAGTTTTCCATCCATATCCGTGGTGTTTCTTTCTACATTGGCCATTCGATTCCCCATATTCTTCATGTGGGTTTCCATGATAACCACTGCTCCCATATTTGTCGCCATATCCTTCTCAACATTTGCCATTCTTTTCTCCATATCTGCCAACGTTTTTGTCATTTCTCCGCACGTGTGGCACTTCAACTTGCGAAATTCGCAAATTTCACTTTCATGATGAATAAGATCACGATGATTTAAAGTTGCACCACAGCCTTGGTTTGTACAAACGGCTGGTGTAAATCCACCATAGATATCTTATATACATTAGATAGTGCATCTAATTATTCTGCAATTCAAAAATTGAAGCCATGATTGCAGTCTCAGGTCGTTCCCATGAAATGAGAAGATTCGTATGTTTTCTATTTCTTAAACAGGGAACTTAAACATCAAGTTAACCCTATTCCAAATACATTTTTAAACTATTCAAATGATGAAATTTATTGTTGTTTTTAAACGTTTATTAGCAAGTGGGAACGACCAACATGGCCGCCATCTATTCAAATGGGGGTAACCGCTGGAATATTCTTGGCTTCAATTTTACTAAAAGAGATGCGCTATCTAGTGTACATAAGATATCTATGAAATCCACATGTAGCTTCGTGGTTGTCAAGATGTTGTAATTGTAGGATTTCTTGACAACCTCTGTTGATGTAAATGCAATGAATATCTAATTCATTTATATAATCTTTTACCATTCGTGGTGGTTCGGTCAAAGTCTCTACGGTCAGATTGTCTGCACACGTAGGGCATCTTCGTGAATTATCGAGTTGTTTCGTAATACAAGAACGGCAGAAACAATGAGGGTTTCTTGAACACAGGACCGGCTCTCTTAAGACGTTGAAGCAAATCAAACAGAGGAAATTTCGATTGACTGTTATCGCAAACCTTTTCTCATCACACCCTTGTTTATAAGACGCCATATTTCAAGCCATTCTTGTTTCGTAATAAAAAAGGCAGTTCTGCAGTGTTGATTTTAGTCGCTCTGTAGTATAAACCTCGCTATATGAATATAGATACAATGTTCGTTCTTCCAGAAATGCTGTGTTAGTATTGGCTTGAAATATTTAACAAAATGATCTGTTTAGAGCAACAGGCAAATATCGCTTCCGCATAAAGTGTTTAAAACGTCTCTACCAGACAGGAATTTGCTGGTGTGAAATAGAATATTTAATTTCTTCTGACCTAAGGTCATCAGCTCACACTAATACTGGCTTGCGATTGGTAGCATTATGTAAACAAGAATTTTTTATCATAACAGGGAAATCAGTTCCGAGAAAATGATCTTTATACCAAGAAAAATCAATCTTGATAATATATAACTATGTATGTCGATTGTGCAAATGATATTAGATCGATGTGAATAAAGTCTGCATTAGGGCCGGACCATTAGATATTTGATGGGGGGGGGGGGGTGTAAATCCCCCAAAAATATCGACCAAGCACTTATTGTTACGAAAAAATATCGAGCAGGACAAATGCGCACGAAAAAAATATCGAGCACACCATCCAAGCAGAGGAGGGTGGAAGCTCTTCCCAGCATGCATTGCAACTCATTAATATTCACAATCATGATTTTTCACAATGTTAGTTGGAAAAGTTGTGGATATTTATTTCGATATTTCGCCACGAAATGTTCGTATTTTTGAAGGTAAGTTTTTATAATTGTTTTAAATATGAGTCAAATTAACGATTTTTGCTTTATTTGGTGTTTTAACAACGTTTAGTGTATATATATGTTAATCGCAATTTGTATTGACCTGTTTTCCGGGTCAATGCACAAGTGTCAAAAGTGGCTTTCAAAACCGCTGGGGACAATTGGGTTTATAAATGAGTAAATTAAATAAAAGACACGCCATCATATTCAGTAAGAGTTGTTCTTTCTATGAGAAGTTTAAAAAATGAATTTGAATTTATTAAATTTGCCACTGAAAAAGACGTACTTTACATATACAAAAAACTACTAAATTGCCCTAATAAGTAAAATGGCAGGGTCACCACAACAATTGTCCCCATCAAACTGACGAGTAATCGCGGTTTGAAAATGGGGCATTTTCGGTATACTGTGTCGCCCATCGCGGGAATAGTCGACCGCATGGGAATTATGGCGCGAGGAAAATTACTGTACGAGTCATTTTTTTTTTTTATTTCGAAGCATGCGCATATATGTCGATCGTTGTTGAGTTTAACTGCTGCTTTTAAGTTAAATACACTGTATTTTACCATTATTTTTATAGAATTCGAATAAATTTTGTGAAAATGGAATCTGATAATGATGGCAATGTTGTTTATATTGTTGATCCTAAGTATGGGAAAAGTTGAACTTATGAATTTAATGCTGATTTAGAACTGTTATTGAGCAAACTGTTCCTACATCCTGCTTTGGCAAATGGTATAACATCTAATCCAGCCAAGTTGTGCTCATGATCCATTCAACTGATTCAAGCAATGAAACTATTGAACCAGAATAATAAGAGCAACCTGTTATATAAATTTGCCCATACCAGCCTTTTAATAGATACATATTTTAGTAGACATTTTACATGTAAATATTGGTGTATTGGTGACATGAAAATGTTGCAATGAATCTTAAGTATTTACTTTATATATTGTAACTTTGAATAAAGCATTTTATTAACATCAATTATGTATGACCACTGCATTTATATGACCAATATCAGGGGTGGATTTACTGGGGTGTGTGCACCCCCCACCTAGCCCTGGCCAGAGGGTATGCAAAGGGGGGAGGGGTATTTTCATGATAAAGCAAAAAATATTAGAGACAAAATGAGTAATTTGAGTAATAACATGATGATAAGTAAACTGTTTGTTAACAACAATTACAATACAGTAGTCAAGCAAGACTTTGCTGTAGTCAAGTAAGGTGATGGGTAGGTGCCGCACCTGACTGACACAACTCGGCACCAGAGCTGGCAGAGCACCCTCCCTACCACATCATACTGGATCCATCTTTAGATCAGTGATCTATCTGTGCTAAATATACAACAGTTAAAACAGTGTTAAGAACACATGCACAAGGTGGACTATAAGATAAAGTAGGGATTTGATGACTGCAGTAAACAAACACAGCAAATTGAGTTCGAAAACATTTATTTATTTGAAAAAGGAATGGTAAAATTATATTTAACAGTTATTCGCCGAAGGCGAGGTGATTATCAGGGAATATTTGCCGAGGTGAATATTCCCAGATAATCACAGAGCTTGAGGCGAATAATTGTTTTAGTATTTTTGCACAAGTTTTTTTGTATTTTTCTGGTCTGAATTCATTTTAATTTCGCTTTTTTCTTTATTATTAACTTCAACAAAACAGCTAGCCACCATTTTGAAAATTTCGATTTTGTTATAATATAACAGATTAATATGTCAAATTTGACCAATCACCTTGTAGCATTTGTTATGTTCACTTGTGCAAAAATACTAATATCAAATATTTACCTGAAATAATAACAGTGTTTTAATAGGAATAAATTTATATGAAAATCTCAACTAAAAATGTTTTGCCCATGTTCTACTTTAAATTTCAACTTGAGATTTTTTGATCATCTATACATGATTATCACAAGTTGCATGGTATCTTTGTTCTCGCCAGGAACCAGCTACAACAACATTCTCAGGATACAAAATGTCCTCCACAATCCTTCTCTTAATTCTCAGGATACAATGTGTCGCCTCCCCAATCCTTGTCCTTCAGAATTCTTGTCTCCATCATTCTCCTAATCAGAGCTTGAATCATTCATGTATTTAGCATCACCAGTAGCCTGTTATACACCCAACCATTGGGTCAACTGCTGAATTTCATCAATCTTGTCCATGTCTGCAACTCCACCTTCTGCAACAATACTTTCAACATCACCAGGCATTTCTTCACCATGAATTTTAACCAAACACATAGGATTTAATGGCTGTTTAATGCAATTGCATAACAATGGCTCATCTAAATTCACCAGTGGTAGGTCATTCAGTATATCCTCTAAAATATCCAGCTTGGGTGGTCAGATTGTTACAGAAGTTGGTGATGGAATAATATTAAACTCCCACAACAGAACACAACATAAGTACTACAGGTAAAAAAAAGATTTGATGCATTTATACAGGGACGTTGGAACAATAAAAAGGCAAGGGCACCTTTATAATTATGTGTTGACTTGCCAATGAAAGCCTGATTGTGCATGTTCCATTGACGATAGCTGTTCTGTGTTCTGGAAATAAAGTCTACTCAAGGGACTATAACTGCACAAACACACTTAATCAGGTCACATTCAAGTTCACACCTCATGACTTTGCCCAAAACTGGAGATAAGATTTAGCAGGCAGAATTTCTATAATACAAAATGCACTTCTGCCCCCCTTGCCCCTCCTCCCTGCTTTTATATTAAAATAGATTTGACTCATTTAACATAAACTCATAAAGTCAAATACTTGTAGTCTTGTATGATTTCCGAATATAAATGGCCCATTTCCCCACCAATTAAATCATAAAATAATCGTACCTTAAGGTCACAACTAGAATAGATTTCTATCAATGAAGGACTATCGCATTCGGCGAACATATAATAAGTCAACTTTTACGCCAAAGCCCAAATGTTGTCGTTATCCATAAAACTAGAAGTTTGACATCCCTTCACGAAGCAGCTCCAGTCGCTCTTTTGACACACAATGTACATAAAGATTGTCACGTCCATCCAAATCAGTAGCTTTGTTGCCACGAACAGTACGAAAATTCGCCATGATTTACAATTTTCAATTTGTACTTTTGAATACCGCTCCTTGTAAATCGAGTAGTAAACACAACGAGAGCCAGTCGAGCAATGACGGCGCGTCCCGGGAAATCGATAATATGAATGAGTTACAATGCATGCCGGGAACGGCTTCCAACCTCCTCTGCCATCCAAGTTTCCACCCTCGTGATTGTCAGAAGTCTCTCCTCCGCCGAGGCTTTTGAAGAAATTAACCTGAATCCATAATATATAACCTTTTAATTAAATATTATTTTCATAACAATTTGAAAGACTTTAATAAAAGACTTTAAATAAAAGACTTTAAATAATAGAAGAGTCATATAAAAATATGTGAAATGCGCTAGACGTGGTTGCAAACCTGGCTTTGGCAAAGATTACCGCTGAAATCTAGAGTGCCGGCGTCAGAGAGAAGATGCTGGCTTTTTGGCTTTTAATATTTTTAAAATTTCCTCAAATCTCTAGTGATATATTGTCACATGACACATGCACAATTTTCAGGAACTCATGTATGGATCCCCATCATGCGCAAAGAAATAAAGCGTACAGTGTGCGAGCAGAATGGGGTATTAAATTTTGAAAATTTTAAAATTTGGCTACTAGAATTATAACGTTTTTGTGAGAATATCAGAATAGCTCGATAAAATATTTTTTATATTAAATATATATACTCTGTTATTATCAATAGACATAATTTTTCATTTTATAAACCAACAACAACTTTAAAATACCAACAACAATAGTAGATAAATATATGTACATGTATATAGTTGTTTATATATTAATATAGGAATCAAGAATACAAACAAAACAATTAACAAATGTATATATCAAACAGTTTTTCAAACTTGCTACTCTGACATTGATTCTGAAACTGAATCACTGATTTCATTAATCAGTGTAGTTGTTTTATAATCACCATCCTTGGCTTGACTTGCACGTACGGACATACTTGATTTTCCACTTTTTCTTTTCTGCTTTGGACTTTTGTACACAATTGAATACCCATGCTTCTCTCTGGGTGCATCCATGCACTCACGAGCATGTTGGCCTTTTCTTTGATGGAAGTGTCGATCTCAATAAGTCGAGATCTTATATTCTTTGATAGGAAATCCAACTCATCCTTGTAACCTATATTAAAGTGCATATAAAGCAACTATTAAAGTTCAGAAGCAAATTTTAAATTTTTCTCCCCACCCCAAGTCCTGATTCGAGATTAATGTATAAATGTATTAACCTATATGGCTAACATTTCCAATTTGTATGTTAATATAGGTCTAGTTTCTACTATAAAAATACTATCATCTCTTCTGAAAAGTGGAAACTACTGTACCTTTTTTGGGTACTCCAGCAGGGCTGCATTTAGCCATCTCAGTATCACACTTCTGTAGGGTATTGGTTGAAAAGGTGCTGACCTCTTCAAGTTTTGCAACATACTGGCAGATATTTTCATACATGGCTTTTGATGGCACATTGGATGATTCCTCTCTGACTCTGTTTTCCAAAAATGATGCTACTGCAGGGTGTTGCTTTTCTAATATTTCACACTTTCCCATAATACTTTGCGACTTGTAGTATTGATTCCACGTTGAAATCACAACTGTTTTTGCCAATGCCAGAAAAAAAAGAAATTCGTGTTGACCTTTGTTTTCTGCACCATAATTCACAGCTACGGAGGGTCTTCTCAAATTGCATCCGTTGTTCTGCCATTTGTAGAATAAATGAGTTGGAGAATATTTGAGTTGGATTGACAGGATTCTCATACCATAGAGCCTTGTACTTTCTCTTTAAGGATTCAATAGAGACGACTATGTTCCCTTGTCCATCTCGTGTCCCAAAGAAATTACTCAAAGAGTTGGGCAAGGATATGACTGTAGATGCCGAAGATGTTTTGAATGCAGCAACACTTGTTTTGGCATTACCAATTTTCGCACTTTCTTCTTCACTTCTCCAAGTAGTGATCTCACGTTGAAGTCGTCTCCATTCAAATACTGTCAACTAACATGTCAATATCCTTTTCATGAATATCCTGTAGGTGTTCAATTTGACTCAAACCATTTGATTGGAAATTCTTAAACTTGTCTTCGAGTGATAATTTTTTAAGAAATGCTTTCAATTGATTCTCCTTGCCTTCTACTTCTAATTCAACAGGAAGATCAACAACCCCAGACATCAAACATCAATTTTAATAACATATATTTGAACATATATTTGAAAATTCACTATTTAAAATGTCCAATTGATGAATTTAGCATTTTATTATTTTTATATATTATTACAGTTTTGAAGTATGCATATTAAAATATGCATATTTAATACATATAATGATTATATTGATTTTGAAAGTTGAGAGAAAAAAAATATCGTGCAAGGACACAGAGGTAATAAAAAAATATCCTGCTTGTCTGAACGACGAAAAAAAAATATCGAGCAGTGTGGAAAATGCACAACCCCCCCATCAAAAATCTAATGGTCCGGCCCTAAGGGGAATCTAGTATTGTGATAAGCCCCCCGACCCACCATAAGATCAGACACGAGTCATAAGGTGGCTGCCAGAAGCGCCTTAGCTTCGACTCGATCATGGAGCTTTTGATTGTGAAATTATATCTTTTAGGTACCAGATGATCTTGATACGCGGAAAAGTACTGGCACTAGTTGTCAAATAGAAATCCATTTTATGATTAAAACAACTGAATATCTCCTGTAATATACTTTATTTCGATTCCATACTTTTGTCAGAGCTATTATAACCAAACATAATTACAAAATGTCAACTAGTTTCATAAAGAATAACGAAAGATATAATTGACTGAATACATCAAAATGGATTTCTATTCGGACAACCCTTTCTGAGCGCTGATTGGCTAAAATACGAACACGAGATCACCTGGCCTATGTAATACACTGGAAATATTTTTCAAAATTCTTACTATGGAAATAGCATGGATCTTCGTTGGAAATAGTACGGAAATAATATATGTAAGTCCGTAGTATGGTTTTCACTTGGCTCGGGTCAGGCAGTTCATGAAACGTTGTCTGCTCTTAGGTCAAGGAGACATGCATGGACTCTGACAGACCGCCCACTCAAGGGCGAGATGAAACATACAAATCAATCAAACAAAACGCGGACAAAACCCGGTTGAAAGCAACAAATCGCTGTGATAAAAACTTTGCCGTGGAGGTAATATACTCGCATTGTATATAATCAGGACTGATACTGGGAGTTGTTAGCCTGAAAGCAGGCTAAGTTATTAAAACTACATGAACACTAGGTAAAGCACATGATGGTATCGAACCCATGCAAGGATGACAGGTGACCCAGACATGAATTGCTCAGACGATCCTGCGCTTGGGGAGGTCTTCCCCGAAATCGTTTTCGAAAATAATTGTTTTGTGGATGTTGAGTGTGCGATTGCGACCCGCTTAAGCTGCCTTGTAATGTCTGTTCACTAATGATTCGAATCTTACCAGGTTCCTTATTAGGCTATTGTCTTTATGGTATGCTGCTTCATTCTTGTCATTTCCGATAGTTTTGTGGTTTGCAATTCCTGTCACCTCAGTAATTAAGGGCAGACCACCCTTCCACTCTTGAGTTGTTGTTTCAGTATTTACGACATTAATAATCGATTTAGGTTTTCTTGAGTTGTACTTACATGACTCAAATACCTCGACATTAGAATGTGTTGTATCGCATTTTGAGGTGGAACGCATGCGGTAGAATTTTATAGGGACGCTTATTAGGCTATTGTGATAATAAACATATGTCACTACTTTCGTTGATAATACAGACTTCATAATTCTTCACATCATGGTCACCCTCATTCAATAATCGTTTTCTTGTTTATTTATTTAAAAGATGAAAAAGACATGCGGCTGTGGCCTGTGGGTTCAATTCGTCGAAATAATTACAATTTCTTTTTCCCTTTCCACATTTTGTATTCGTATTTCCACAGTATGACCTCATAATGTTGAAACCGAATTCAATCATTGTTAAATATCAAAATACATACCTTGGCTAATCGTATTGCGTTACTGAAACACTGGGCTCGAGTGTAGAAATGAATTGCATCCTTAATATTATCCTGCGAGAAAAACAAAATGTAATTACGTCGTTGTTTCATAAGTTTTAGAAATAGATTTAAACGGTCTGCAATCGGCTATTTGCCGAACAAAAACCCTGTACAGACATTGGACCCAGCAAATAAAATAGGTAATTTTCATGTATAGTTAGTGTTAGTTTTCCTCTAGCTTTTTTGTACCAAACTATTACTTCATAAATTCTTTTTCATTCTTCTTTTTGTCTTTTGAGAAAGGTTTAGTTTATTTTTCTCCGTACATAAACTGAGTTTGTAGTTAATACAACGAAATAACCATGCCTAGCGTGAAGACGCGGCATTGCAATTATTCCACTATTTGCTGTTTAGTTCTTATCGTTTATACTGTAATCGCCTTCTAAAGTTATTATAATAGTAAGTAATACAGTTAATGTTCGTGGGTATAAATATGTTTTTGGCCCTGCTCAGAACTAATTTTAACGAACTTTGTTTTTGGCCCTGCTCAGAACTCATTTTAGCTCGAGCTAAAATTGAGTTCGAGTCAGGTCAAAAACATTTTTATGCCCGCGAACATCAACTTTGTTTTTTTCTGTGTTGGTGTAATGTATTCAGGTAAATATGTGCTTGTGATGTTACTCTGAGTGTATATCCACACCGGGCAGACTTGAAAAATATGCCTGGCCACGGTGGGAATCGAACCTACGACCTTTGGAATGCTAGCCCAATGCTCTGTCAACTGAGCTACGCGGTCAGGTCGGTTCGAGTACTGCATTGATATATCGAAGGAACTAGACTCAGTTCCGAAATATCACATGCTCGAACCGACCTGACCGCGTAGCTCAGTTGGCAAAGCTTTGGGCTAGTATTCCAAAGGTCGTAGGTTCGATTCCCACCGTGGCCAGGCATAATTTTCAAGTTTGCCCGGTGTGGATACACACTCAGAGTAACATCACAAGCATAAACTTTGTTGTTATATCAATTAGGTGTCCGTAGTGACGGCGACGACTTTAATTTTCAGTAAGTTTCGCAAAAAAGTGACGAATCTCCTATACTCGTACTCGCCGCTGCTACAACTCTCTATTATCACAATTTTAAGTGTTGAGACACTTCTAAAATCGTAAAATTTGATGTCGATTGTCGTGACCTCGGTCATGATAACCTAATCCGATATCGTGTAACTGGAGCCTAACATAAACATATAATAAAACGATGATACGAAGATACCTGGTTTTCAAACTGTCTGGCTAAATGATAACTTGCCGCCCTATCTCCTGTCTCGTTGCAAATTTCAGCTGCCTAGAATGGAAAATAAACACCTTTAAGAAATTAAGTACGTCCACACCTTGACAAATTACAACAATTTAGATAGACAGTTGTTATATCAATTTCATAAAGGTCCGTTCAAATGACGCCAATATGTTGATCCAACGTCCCCCATTGTTGGTCTCGTTTTGAACACTAAATATATATGTTATTTACCGGCTGGGAGGTCCTTACTGAAAAAAAATATTTTCGGGAAAAAAATATTTCCGACGCTCATCGGTTAACCAATGAAAAGGCTCACATAAATTTAGACCACTCACAAACAGAGTTCAAATATTGAACTCACCAAAGTGAGGCTGGATGCTCATGTGACCAGAGCCTCGTCGTCGTGTCCTCACTTCTATCACAAGAAGCTCTGGCACCCAGGGTAGTACACCATCAGCCCTCGTTGCTTTCGACTGATTAAGATGGTTGAGGGCATACTTAATCCGGTAAATGGTATATAATATTTTTTTGTTTTCGGACCCACTCGTGCAAGGTCCCCCCCAATTATACTCGAGACTATAGCAGTAATACTTATTCATTTTTGAATATGAGCTAGATTTGGTTAGTGCAATAAATAGAAGAGTACGATGAAAACCAAGTTACCTTCTCGATATTTCCACAAAAGCAATAAACTCTGACAAGAGATAAGATGTCATTGGCAGCTTCGTAATATTTCAACGCCACATCCATTTCACTGTTGCTCTCCATATACTGAGCCCACCATTTACGAAGCGATCTGAAGAACATTTCATGGAACGTATTGAACGAAAAAATTTAATGACTAGTGCAACCAACTGCAATTGACCGCGAGTTGTGCAAAAATTAAACATTTGTTCATTGTTTCAATGTTACTAGGGACGAACTTCATTGTTGATAAGGTAAAACCTCCTTAGCCCCCTAGTAACGTCAACGTTCATCCAATAAATATCCATGAAACTTTTTAAAGTGTTTAGATTTTAAGCAGTATACTTACTTATCCTTAGTTTTCATGATGTAATTTTCCAGTTGGTTAGGGTTGTCCAAAAGCATTCTGGGAACTTCAAATCTGAACGTGTCTGACTTCTCATAACTAGAACGCAAAACACTTCGTTATTAACTTGTCATTGAGAAGCTAGGTGACAGGAGGTACGTTATGTAGCCCAACACCAGATGCAGTCTTGTAACAATTACCAAAATATAAGGAGAAAAATTACAATTATTTATTCGAAAAGGTAATTGTTACAAATTACATATTAGTTTCGTTCAAAAGTAATTAAATAGTAATTAATTTAGGCGCTAATGAGATTGAACTGCTACAATATCAAAATGCATCAGTAAGCTACCGATACAAAACAAGTCGTCCAACAATCAATAATCCAACTGCGTTCAATTTGTTATACTTAATTTGAATAAGCCAATTTCTGTACCGTCACGTGACCTACTACTAGTATGTTTGGCAACCGAGAACGGCAACGGGAGAAAACAAAATCACTTTTATTTTTGTATTCGATCAAACGCATACATTACTAAATTTTATTGGTCTATTAAAAGAAATAATCTTTCTTTTAAACGACCTTAATCAGTTAATTCCCATAAAACAGTCCAAACTATGTCCAACGTTTTACTGTAACTGTTGGCGTAGTTATATGAGCGGTCAAAATGATGTAAATAACGCAGCAGTTTGAACAACTACGGTGAACGCTCAAGGGAACACAATTTATAGCCGCATTTGTCTTCATAGACGTTGCATGCTGTTGTACAACTTACTAGAGTTAACGGTCGACAGCAGAACAAATTTACCTTCAAAGCCATTTCGTTTTGAAATTTCCAGAATTTGTAAAGAGTGCATAGAAGTGAAGCAAACTTGCTTTATCCAAAATGTTAATTACGTTACAATGTCATTTTTGGACAGAAAGTAATTAATTCCGGAAAAAATACTTAAAAAGCACTTTAAACACGCGTTTAAAACCAATGAGTATAATACGTCACTTGGTTATGACTTATACATTCATACGGTTAATTTTATGTTTTTCCAGCGGCAAACGCATTTATTTTTTTATAAATAAGCTAGCCGTATAAACTAGAAAATAAAGCTAAAAAAAGTTTTGAAATCTAGACTCTAAAATATATTCGGAAGTGCACTGTCGGGTACTGTCGAGAAGCCCCGGGAACGAAGATGAGCAACACTCTTGGGAAACATCTATACTAGAAGACCATGCTTCCACGTACTTAGCAATTGCTCCTTGAATATTTCCAGAGGTTTCGAGGAACTTCGCGAAGTTGTAATACGTTGTCCTTAGATGAACTCGATCATGGAGCTCTGCTACCTCAATTGCCTACAATAAAACAATATATTAGGTTAAAATGCTTTAAAGGCCAATTAAGGGAGAGCTTTTACTCTACAAAGGATAACTAAAAATTGTTAAATAGTAAAAAAGCTTATTTTTCAGGTTTACCTTGGTCCATTCGTTTCGAGCTTGATAAAATTTATTCAAGAGGTCGTAACGTTTACACGATTTGTATAATCTTTCAGCTTCGTCCTAAACAGAGAAATATATACCATTATGGCTCTTTTTCATCCTCTATAGGGACAAGAGTTTAGAACTCAAAGAGCTATCTAGAATAAAGTTACTTTAGGTTAGGTTTCCTCCTGCAGTATTAAACATTGGGTCAATAAAAGATTGTTCTCACTGGAGCACTATAAAACAGTTTAGAACTGACAGAGCTATCCAGTACAAATAGAGTTAGTTTAGTTCAGGTTTCCTCCTGCAGTATTAAAACGTGACGGTGTGATTCGTGACAGTTGGAAGTTTACAAAACTGCTCCGTGTTTTTATTAATTTTTTTGTTAATTTTGCTTGTGTATTTCATCAGATATTTAAAATAATTGTGGGTAAGTTATATATTTACTGGAAAGTATAATTGAAGATTGCATTTCTTGTCTGGTTGAAGTAAATTTTCTCGTAAATAAAGTTATCCTGTGCAAATAAACGAGTACTTACCAACATATCTAACTGAACAGCAAGAATGGCAACGCGAGCGTCATGCTCAGGTTCTTTCATTGCTTTTCTTAAAGCTCTAGCAGCTCTGGCACTCTTCATATTTCCCAGACATACTGAGGCCACATCGAGTCTCTTTGTCTTGACACACATACGTGCCATGTTCTCCCAAACAGATTCACTACAACATCAAACATGCCATTTCGAGTACATGTAACGTATGCTAACGCAAGAGCCCAGGGATAGGTACAATAATCTGCTGCGGTTTGTGTCTGAACCACATGAACAGGAATATCCCGAACAATACTAGACGCAAAAATAGACTAATACTTCCCAAAGTTAAGTATCATTTTGGAAAAAATACTTTTATCTTCAGTGGGGTGCAGGTTTATAATATGCTCCCTGATCACGTGATGAAGGATGAGTCATTCACACTTTCGCACGTCTCGTACGAATTGTATGTAATGAGCTTTCTTATTGATGTGGAACATGCATGGAAGTGACGGAACTGATTGCGACAATATTTTGTATTTATATATTTCATACCTTAAAATGTAATTCCTATAAATAGCTTATATCTAGATACAGGGCCCCTATGGATACCAGGGTTCGTGCTGAAAGGGCCACCCTGTTTAAATAAAGTTTTTTCATTCCATTCCAACGTGGTGGTCCAGTGCAAGTGCATGGTATTCTACAATACGTTGAGTGGTTTGTGTTTGGGGGTTGAGTGGTTTGTGTTTGGGGGTTGAGTGGTTTGTGTTTGGGGGTTGAGTGGTTTGTGTTTGGGGGTTG